TTCTTCTTCTTCTTCTTCTTCTTCTTCTTCTTCTTCTTCTTCTTCTTCTTCTTTTTCTTAGTGTTTGTGGTGGCGGTGGTGGCAGTGCTTGTTGTTATTTGTGGTGGGGGTGGTGGTTGTTGTAGTTTATATTTGTTGTTGTTTTCGTCGTTCTGTTGTTGATTTGACAAATCAGAAATATCATTAGCTACACTACTGACACATAGACATGGCGTCAGCACATTGCTCAAATGTACTGAGTCCAGAAAACATCATTATCCAGGAGATAGAGAAAAAAAATTGGTTTTTTTTTTCTTTGGTTTTAAGTTTTTCTTACAATTGTAACTTCGTCATGTTTTTTTTAATTGCTTGCTTGTTTGTTTGTTTGTGGGCGAGGAAGATTCTTTTTTTTTTGAGGGGGGGGGGTTGTTTGTTGGTTTGCTGTGTTGGGATTTTGTTTTTGTTTTTGTCGTTGTTTTTGTTGTTGTGTGTGTATGTGGTAGCCTATCCGTTCGAAATGTTTGGAGCCTCGAAGAGCGTGCTCTTCGCCAGGGCCACCGCCTCTGTTGGGTAGCGAGTGAGGCAGTCCAACCTGCTTGAATCCTCCCCGAAGATGTGCCACCGCGGACCTCCTTGGCGGGGCATCTCTGCAGCCAGTGCTCCAAATCTTGGGGTTCCTCGCTGCACAATGGACAGATTGGGTCCGATGTTTTGTCTATTTGTTGTTGTTGGTGGTGGTGGTGGTGGTGGTGGTGGTGGGTTTGTTTTGTTTTTTCCTCTTTTTCAGTATTTAGAAATTTATTTGAATTTCGGCCAAATGTCATGAAGTATAATTATGCAACCGATACCTCAGATTTCAGAAACTAATATTTCTTTCCCTCCAAATACTGAGGATGCTACATGTGAAGAGCTCAGTTACAGCGTGTACAAGACAATACTGGTGGTCAGGCTGTTCTAACCAAAACATCCCCATCGGGATTTTAAATAGCAAGGGTATAATTGGTCGCTTTTTAGGACAAGCGGGCTAACCAGATTTCGGAGGTTTCCAGAAATCTTGACCTACACTAAAAGTGAGCATTGCCCTACCTATAGGAGAAGTTTGGTTTCATAGGTGTGTATATTTGTTTGGTTATAGAGAAAACTCTCCTGGTCTTTTAAAGATAGATTTCATGAGTCTAAAAACGTTACCTTCGATTTTCTCAAAACAGCATTTGTTGTGATAGCCCCCTTGTGCTTAAAAGTGACCATATTTAGCATTTCGGAACTTCGCGGTGGCATTAAAGATGGTTCCAGTAGTGAACGGGGCAGCTGGTGCCCACATCCCTCGTGACTCATCAGAGCAGAGGAAGATAGGACTAACGCTGACATTATTTTTTAACAAGTAGCAGAAGCATGTCTTCTTAATAATTATATACATAAACACCATCCCACATCATCACTTATCAGTACTCATCACCACCACCGACGTCATTTCTAACATCATCACTGCTCTCAGATCCTTCACAAACATCTATTATTTTCTTAAACATTTACATGTAACAGTTATATGTTATAACAACTATGTACGTAATACATTATTGGGCACTATCATACGCATATTTTTCTACTAATCAGATGGCGTCGTAATCATAGAAATGGGCAATGGACTATAAAAAAAAAAAACAAGTTAAAAAGCCAGGGTATATTTTTTTTCTCTTTCTCACATTCATATTTGTCATTGTGGGTGGTTGGAGGGTTCTCTTGTGTGGTTTGCTCCTTCTTTCCTTTCAAACGTCTATCTTCCTTCTAATCTCTCCTTCTCTGTGTATGTCACTCTTTAACAACACCTTTAATCTTCTGCACTTCTATGGCCTAATTGTATTGCATGATCTGATAAACTCTTACAAAAATTAAACTACCGATTGACCCCCCGGGGCGGTGCTACTGACTGAAGTGTTTTTGTGGCCATTCCCATAGGGGGACATTAACATGCACAGTAGAATTGTAAATTGTAAATGGGCTGATTCATCAATGTCATTCTCATAACTGTGCCTGAATTGCAACAGGAAACTGCTGCTTTTTCTTTCCTAATCCTTACTATAGTCATTTTGTCTCTACTTTTTTTGTTTGTTTGTCTCCCTCTCTTGAGACCCGCTATTTCCGGGGTGTCTTGATAGTTGAAGCAGACTTTGTGCTGTTGAAGCTAGAGAGGTGAGCAAAGTAAGTCTGATTCCCTGTAAGGATTTCTCTATTGATATCCACCCCTTGGCGCTCATGTAACTGTATGCAGTTGCGAGCGCCGTAAAACCTCTACTAAAACTTTAAAAAACTATCGATTGTGTTTGGTTTCTTTCTATGGCACCAAGGGAGCGGAAACTGGAGACGACCAACGACTGCCAGGTGTGCTGTCCCCTGAAACATCCCAACAGGTCAGTGGGTGGAGGTGGGCTCAGTCCATGGTGTTTTTGTGGTTGGTTGTGGTGGTGTTGTTGTTGTTGTTGTTGGTGGTGGTGGTGGTTTTGTTGTTGTTGTTGTTGTTGTTGTTGTTGTTGTTGTTGTTGTTGTTATTGTTACTGTTGCTATTTCGCGTGTTACTAACTGTTACTATCATTCTTGTTGCTGTTGCTGTTTTTTGCGTTTTTAACATTATTGTTGTTGTTGTTGTTATTTCTCGTGTTACTATCATTGTTGTTGTTGTTATCGTCGTCAATGTTGTTAACGTTTAAATGTGTATTTCAAACGATGTCAATGTTGAGGACCAGTTCCTTGTTCTTCAGTAAGCTTACACATCAAATGAATCAGTTATGTGTTCTTAGATTGTTCTTTGTTATCCCACTTCCCCCCTACCCCACTCCCACTCCCACCCCACCCCCTCCCCCCAAAACGCCTTTCGCCTCTCTAACATTTGGCGTTTTAATTACCGAGTTGTGTTGCAGGTGACATACTTGTAAAACTCTTACTAAAATACGAGTAAAACAAACAAAACAAACAAATCTGTTGTTTACTAAACTGTGTTTGTGATTACCAAAAAAAAACCAAACCCCAAAACAAACAAACGAACAAACAAACAAGCAGACAAACAAACAAATAAAAATAACATGTATTGTTGACCTCTGCTGGGTATGTTTTCAAGTCAAACAAACAAACAAACAAACAATACGCACAGATATGTCGATGACCACACATGTGTCGAGTGTCGAGTGTCGTGTGTCATGTGTCGTATATCGTGTGTCGTGTGTCATGTATCATGTGTCGTGTGTCGTGTGTCATGTTTCGTGTGTCATGTGTCGTGTGTCGTGTGTCATGTTTCGTGTGTCAAGTACCGTGTATCGTGTGTCGTGAGTCGTGTGTCGTGTGTCAAGTACCGTGTGTCGTGTGTCGTGAGTCGTGTGTCGTGTGTCATGTATCGTGTGTCATGTGTTGTGTGTCCTGTGTCGTGTGTCGTGTGTCGTGTGTCATGTGTCGTGTGTCAAGTACCGTGTGTCGTGTATCATGTGTCGTGAGTCATGTGTCGTGTGTCATGTGTCGTGTGTCGCCAGGTTCGACATCCAGCAGCTGGGAGACAAGGACAATCACCGACATTCCTTTGAGTACATGGACCCCATAACGACATACAACATTGACGAGGCCATCCGATTTGTCAACTCTCTGGAGGGGGCCGGGTGTGAGTGGATAGATAGATAGATAGATAGATAGATAGATAGATAGATAGATAGATAGATAGATAGATAGATAGATAGATAGATAGATAGATAGATAGATAGATGAAAA